TGTTGATTATGGAAACATCAGATATGTGCCTAACAGTAATCAAATAAATCAGTTACAGGGCTGATCATTCAGGCTATTCTGTACTAACTTACCGATACTGAAGCATATATATTAAGGTACCACAGAAGTAATTTACAATCACTTCACATGAGTAGAGCGCAAAGCAGCCGTTCATAAATAATCATGGCCAAGGTACGAAGGGACGCAAGATAGCTGCATGGAACGTGCAATGCCACCCACACCAGTGACACGTCAAACTCAAAGACAATTTAGTGTAAAATATAAATGTTCAAGAGTAAGGCAACAAAGTGCAAGCATGAAGGTAGAAAGGTCAGTTGGGTGCTCCTGGTCACTCATTTTCCCATCAGAAGAATAGAGAGGATAGCTGCTCCCATCAAACATTTCCTTAGCAGCAAGGCCTCTTGGAAGGGTGACAGGTGTGAGGAGAAAGGGAAGTAGTGAAGAGACTGGAAAGGCAGAGAGCAGGGTGAATCCAGTAAGCCTTGAGTCCTCACAAAACTCAGGGTTCCATTCAGCCAGGAGACTTCTATGGAAGCTATTAATATCAGAGCAGGGTGGCACCTGGCAATGCTTCCATCTAACATGGAGATTCTTCTCTTAAAAAAAACCCCACAAACAAAACCAAACCAAAGCCAAGTTAAATAAATCTTCAAAAGATAAAACTTAAGAAAAAAACCCAAAATCGTATTATAATGATTTACTGCTGCTTACCTCTTTGAGAGTGTAAGAGGAAGAGATGCTTACAAATACTAGTTAGATGTGAAGTGTTAACTACCACTAGTACCTGGCAGTGGGCACAAAGAAGCACTCGCACTCAGCCCACACCGTAACAGAAGCAAAATGTTGACCACAACTAAGTGTAGGCAGTGTGCCCTGGTTAATGTGAATGCTTCAGGTCAGTGCTGTCTGCCACTCCTCATGCTGCACTTCTCTCCTCCTACTTAAAAAAAAAATATTGAGTTGCTATCCTTGTCTGAGAAATGATGAGTAAGGGAGAAGTGAACACAAGAATTTACTGCTGCTGTCAATTACAAAACTTGGCACACCCTGCCTGAAGTGACTTGGTTTTAAATCTGTGAGGGCTGAACTGAACACAAGCCGAACCAAGGAGAGATCCGTGCAAAACGTATGGGGAAATTAAAAGAATATGCAGTAAGCTTCTGATTCTGCATCGCCATCCACCAATATCCTACAGAAATGGACCCCACCTCCACTAACTTCTCTAACAGTTCAGTACAGTGTACTTCAAATTTTTGTCTGAAAATGTTTAGCCAGCTACTACACTCCACTTCCTGGAAAGTGGAATGTACCAGGCTGGTGAAGGATTTGAAGCATGTCGTACGAGGAACAGCTGAGGGATCTGGGGCTGTTTAGCCTGGAGAAGAGGAGACTGAGGGGAGACCTCATCGCTCTCTACAACTGCCTGAAAGGAGGCTGTAGTGAGGTGGGGGTCAGTCTGTTCTCCCTAGAGCTGAGTGACAGGACAAGGGGAAATGGCCTTAAGTTGTGCCAGAGGAGGTTCAGGTTGGATATGAGGAAGAAGTTCTCTACTGAAAGGGTCGTCAGGTGTTGGAACAGGCTGCCCAGGGAGGTGGTTGAGTCGCCATCCCTGGAAGTGTTTAAGAGACGGGCAGATGTTGTGCTCAGGGACATGGGTTAGTGGTGTTAATAGGGCTGGGACAAAGGTTGGACTTGATCTTGAAGGTTTCTTCAAGCCTAAACTGTTCTATGATCCTATGTTCGTATTTCAGCAGTGGCTCTCTGTTTTTAGTTTATAAATAAGCGAGTACAGTCCACTGAGAGGCTCTCCATACAAAACACGCAATAAATTGATTTAAACTAGTTACTTTAATGGGAAGTGCACATTACTATAGAGAATATATCATTGCACAACTTTAAGAAAGGATATCAATACCCTTATTACTTTTATCCTCTTTTCCACATAAGCTTATAATCCATCTGGGTAACCACTGTGTATCCAGAGATTCATCTGTCGAGCTGCTTCACTATTGCTCCACATGTACAAAAGCAGGTGCATTACACAGCACTGAGAGCAACTGGTCGTTGCACTCCAAGTCAAAGCTACATTTGTGGTCGCTTCTGATATAGTTACAGTCAACTTACTATTAAACAGTAATTTGACTGTCGTCTTCTTGCATAGTTAAAGATACTTTGGACAGATATGAGACTGAAAATTAGCACCTGGGCACTCTCTTAGCTGAAATCTAAGGATCCGTATGCGCTTGGTCTTGCAGATGGTGAAACTGAGGTGCAGAAAAAACAAAAAGCAGAGGCCCTAAATTGGAAAAACTTATGGGAGATGCAAAAATTTGTAGAAAATTCACTGCTGCTAAGACACAGCTGTGTTTTTTTAACCACTGGTGACAAAATTGTCTAAACTGCAAACTAAGTAAAAATCACTCTTTTGGAAAACATGCGTGCATCCCTACATTTTAACAATACTAGAGGTTTCTAAAAATCTTTAGTTTCTTACTTTGAAGCAGCATTTTGCTTACCGTTGTGAAATGAACTAGGCAAAAGATTCCGATGACGACAAGGCCGATGATAATTGATGCAACAGCAACCCAGAGCGCATTGCGACCCAGTCTTTTTGACCCTTCTATATCACCATCATTATAACTGTTTAAAGCCTGTAGAAAAGAAACAGAGAGTTTGTGACTTTTTTTTTAAACCGGAAATCCGCACACAAACCAGTTTGACTGCTTTGAACGAATGTTAAGTCCTGTGCACATTGGTACTGCAGAAAGGACTTCAGAAAAAGGATAGAAATAAACACTCGCTGCCAACAGTCCAAGGTAGCCTGGGAGTCCAGTTTTCTGTTCCACTCATTTCATTGCAACTACAGCTCTTTCACTTTCAGCGGTAAGGCTATACTCATATGATGAGTTTTCTTGTACACACAAGAATAAATGTTGTCAAATCAACTCTAATCCACCCACTTGCATAAGTCAGTGGCTTTTCTCTCTGAAATATTTTTGTAGTATATGTGAACAATTAGTTAGCCACTTCATTAGCAGTGAAATAAACTCTCACACTTTATAGGAACATAAGCACGCAAAGAAGCATGAATAGACTGCAGTTTTGCAGAAACTCTCAGGAAAACTTCTTTTAAAAAGGCCCAGTAATCTATCTTTGCAGGGTTTTACTTCTCAAAGCAAAGTTTGAAGTATTATTAGGTAGTTTTCTGGTGGCAGAAAAAGAAAACAAAACAAATATAGATCATCTGAATGAAACATCTGAGTGCGATCTTCACGGGCTGGAAATTCTGTTTCTTTCCATTTTTGGAACACACTGAAAAGAATTAACATATAGGTCCTGAAGTATACAGCAGATATACAGATATTATCTCAACAGACTTGAGCTTATATCTACCCATGATTTAGCAGATGCTTTATATTCATTAGATACAGAGATTGCAAGGCGTGATAGGACCACTTGGATTTTCTAGTCTTTTGTGAAACAGACTGTAGGATTTTCTGAATTCATTTTTGTTTCAATCAGACCGTATTTTTAGAAGAAAAGATGCAGTGAAGGATACTGAAGTATTCTAGTACACAAGTCTAACAAAGTTTGTAATAACTTCTCCCCAAAAATGTAAAAAAAAAAGATCAGGAGAGTTTGAGTTCGTAAACCACGACATTGAGTCTGAATTTCTTTATCAGATTGCACTATTGAACTATCCCAGCATATTTCCTCAGGGAATCAGGTTTAGTCATAAGCTGTTCTTTAGTATCTCATAAGTAGCCCAGAAATAGAAGGTGTAGGGGAAGAAATAGGGGGATCCGATCAAATGAACTGTTCTGTAGATTAAATAATTCATATTGGCTTTAGAAAATGACTGCACGAGGTATAACCAAGTGCTATTAAAAAAAAGCTTTAGTTACAGATCACTTTTTGTAGCAAACACAGAACGACAGCTAATTCAACAGAGTGAAGATCTGAGACTGTGGAGGGCAGGGAAGGTATGAATTTCAGAGGATACCAGGTACTGTTGTAGAACCTTTTTTCCTCAAGCAGAAAAATAATTAGGGACATTATCTGTGTGCATTCTGTCGATTAGGGAGCACACAGAAGTTAATGGGCTAGATGCATCCTTGGTGTTAGCACTGCAGTAAGATCACTTGTGCCAAGACAGTCCCAAAGCAATGAAGTCTATATTCCTAGAATTGCTTCTCAAGGATAAGTGCAGGTACTTATTCTCTGGTGCTGAAGAAGGGCTGAGCTGCTGATGCACTCTTGCCCTTAAAGAGAGCACTGATACACTTCTCTTCCTGGAAGCTTACATGCCTAAACATTTCTCTATTCTATTTCCCTAAAGACTATTACTAATACCTCTGCTCTGCTGTCAAAGGTCATGGAGGTTGGCTAGTGGACTTAAAGGATACAGTGGGGAAAGAGGGGAGAGATGGAAATGAGAAACAGGCACAAACACACAGTAAAAGAGGATGATGTCACCTCCAACTCTCCACCAGTGCAGCCCCCTGTGACAAAGGGTGGCTGGCACAGTTCTCTCACCTAAGTTACTCCACTGTTTTCACCAGCTCTGTCTACAGAAGAGCTTTCCTAGGTTTTCTCAAAATACATTCAGGAATGTCAGTGAAAGGAGTATCAGGAGACACATGGCTTGGCTTGGTCTTGAGCAGGCTGACTTCTCCTCTCGCCTCTGTCAGCAACTATCAACAGGACTGTGGCTACAGGGAAAAACATGGAGAAGCATCACTGACACTCCAGCCCTGGACATTTTTCTCCCCACCCATCAAACGACCCGCTCTGCACGACAACTACCCGCAAACGCTCTAAACTCAGTCCCCCATACACGTGGTCTCAAGATCAAGACAGAACTGTAAGCAAGACATGACAGCACCAGCTTGCAGTTCTGTGCAATTTTTCTAATGTATTTAGGAAATCTGGAGAACGTCCATGTGAGATCTGCAGGTACTGCATAAATAATTCACCCAGTGCACTTAAATAAATAATGCCATTTTAATACAAACCCATGATGAAGAGGAGGAAAATAGCATTACTGATAAAGAGGAGGATTTGGGAGAGACAGGAAGGAGACAAAAGTTTCTTTATTAAGAGGTTTAAATTAAATGGCATAAATTAGCATTCAAGAAAAAATAAGACGTTTGAGTGAATGTTTAGGGTCTGATGCAAAGCTCTGAAATTCAATTACTTTTGTCTACTCCAATGGGCCCTTAGATGAAGCTTCCAGTTTTCGATGTTGGACGTAGACAACATTAACTGTTAAAGCCTTAAATGTTACATCTATTTACTTCCAAGGACTAGGCAACATACACAGAATACAGCATCTGTGTGCAACTTCTAGTCTGTCTAACTTTTAAAACAAATTTTAACCATTTTCAACCTAATACCAAATGATTTCTCAGGTTTCTGCTACCTCACTCACTATGAAGTCATAAACTAAATTAAAGCCACAGTTTCACAGCTGCTTATTTACTTGAGCAATCTCAGTGACTTCACCAGGTTCACACACATCTATTTATAAAAGATACTCTCAGCTCAACAACGAGGCAACATAAACTCCTATAAAAAGAAATTTGCTGATTAGCTATAAACTATTAATCTCTTTTTAATGTACACTTTCTGTTCCACATTCCCAGAGCACCGTTTATGGCAAAAGCCGAAAAGAATACTGAATTACTTCAGAAATCCTTCTCTATATGCCTTCCAGATCTGGGCAGGCCAGACTGAGGTTTTCTGATTAACATTTTCTAGGCTTTCCATGTAAAAAACCTTATGGGGCTGGGCCTAGAAACGAGACACTCTCTCTAGTTCAGAGCAAAGGAAGATTAAGACTTGCTGCCTCAGAATGACTTCTCACTGTGAACATTTTCCCTGTAAAGAGAAAGGAGGACTTGAAGAGCAATTCAGAACCAGGCTTGATCTCTGCTTTTTCGCAAACGAAACAAGGCAGGTGATGAGCAGAATGAAAGCAGAATTTGCTCTGCAGGCTGTATAGCAGCATGCAAAAAAAGCCCTGGACTCCTGTGTCTCTGGGTACAGGTTGAAAGTATTGTTGCAGAGGAAAAGCTTACCAGTTTGAAAAGATAAAGGCCTTGCAGAAATGCTTAAGAACAGCCACTGAGCTTTGTTTAGTACTCTTAAAGTAGGTACAGGCTGTCTCATAAGGTGTTAGATGTCCAGGCACCTACAAGCTACTTAAAAATAGCTGTATATATAATGAACTTTTCAACTAAAGATAAGTACAGCTATACAGGATCACTGGTCACTGTGCCAGTCACTGACCTGACCAAAGCCAACATGGCTTGTTAGGATCCCAGTTAGAAGAGGTGATACTGCTATGATCCTGCTTTTGGACTAGATGATCTTTAGAGGTCCCTTCCGACCCCTAACCTTCTGTGATTCTGTGTGACCCCCTCAGAAAACAAGTTCCATCCTTTGCTGTTCCATGATATCTACCACTCTCTCGCTCATTGCCTCTGCTAGGGAAACCAACACCCAGACAAGGCATCTGAATCCAAGGGCAACACGTGCAGTCAAAGAACTTGTTACTATCAGAAGCAGATGAGCCAAGATTGTCACAGCTTGACCACATATGTTGCTTGAAACATGCAAATGATTAAACAGAAATATGTCAACATGATGAGGGAGTGAGGAGCAAACAATCAGGGAAAAATAGCATTTGGAGAAACTGTTCTGAAGCTGTTACAAATCTAAGGCCCTACGGAATGATACGACTAGTGTGACATACAGGTCTACAGAGCTCAGAGACACACTTCCACCAGAGTTTATTCTGTCACATGAACCTCCTGACCTGGTACTGGCATCTCACACTCCTGACCCTCATCCTGTGGTCTCACCTATGTGAGAAAGAACTGGGAAAGTCCGAGCGAGGAACCTCTGCGGTTGAGTGAGCCAACTAATTGTTGGCAACGTGATACAGCTGCTGGAAGCAACAGGAAGCAGGAAACTGGTGGCATCTGGCTGCAACTGCAGAAGAGTACTGAGGAGAAGAGTAATCCTACAGCCAGGAGTCCTGGCCAGGACCCTGGGGAAAAAAAAAAATAAAAATCTCCCATTTGCTAAAACTGCCAAGGAATCCTCATATCTGTAAGTGACCAGCAACTAGTTTAAGGGGGCTGCTCTTGTAACGCCAATATATCAACACACTGATGCCATCAAGCATTCTTGCTACTAGCTATCCTCTTATCTCTGTTGTGAGGTATAGCCTTCTTTCACAAAGGAGGTAAGGAACAAGAAAAGCGTATTATCACAACAGGGAGAACTTGAGAGAGGTTAATGCTAAAAATACAGTCAAGGAGGTAAGATCTGAAATGGTAAGGTTTGTGTCCCCAAAGGTGAGAAAGAAGTGAAGAAATCACTGCTGGAGTTGTAAATGGGGCAGCAGAAGAAAAAGAAGAGACTGAAGACAAACCTGTCATTTAATTTGGGGGTGTGTTAGAGGCCAGACTCTACTTTTAGAGTGGAACTATTGTCTGAATTGAGAGCACTTAAGGAGGACATGACACAGGCAGACAGGGTGCTGAACCATGGCCCTCTAGAAGCCAACAAGATTTTCCTTCTAGGCCCATTCTATGATGTGGAAATTTATAGGGAATGCCACTTTCATGGGTCTTTATCTCCTCTGACACAAGATCTCAGGCAAGCTCTACAGCCTACAAAGGTATCTCCTGTAAGAAAAGAAAATAACCCACTCTTGTATCTCAGTGTTAACCCTTAGAAACTCTAGGAAGCAAGCTGTGAAAGAGAGGGAGGATGTGGATCCCAGCAGAAGTAGAAATAAAACCTGGAGTCGAGATGAACAAAGCACTTACAGGTTGCAGCTTTACAAGGTAGGGCAATCAAGCTGTGGAAAATAAGTTGGACATTTTATTTTCATGGAAATGAAGAGGCTTTAGGTAAGACCAATGTCGAAACAGAAGGGATTCCATACAGCAGAGGTCATTAGTTTGGGTTTTGTTTCCCCCTTTAAAGGAGTGGGTAGCTCAGATCTGCACAGATTGTTTTAGAATTAGCTCTTCCCACCCTGGTTCCCACATATGCCCCTGGTGACAGCTACCTAAGCCTGACTCCAAAAGCCTGCGTGAACTTCAGCTAGGGCGTGGGTGACAATTTTTCCATATGGGGTGCAAAAATCTTTAGAGGCCAAATTCTGTCCTTGACAGTTAACTTCTGTGCAGCCCTGTGCTTTGGTGAAAGCACTGTCAGAGCGAGCAGATGCTCAGAGCCCCAGATCATCAGCTCTCATTACTTTATATAGTGCCCTAAGTGTCCACAGACAGAAAAGATGCTGGGTACCAGCAGAACCAAATTTCTTCAGATCAAGGAAAAGAGCATATTGGACAGCTGACAACAACAACAACCAAATAAATAGAAAAAAAAAATTTGCAGATAAAACTTACGTGGGCAAAAAAGGTTGTGAAGAGGACCGGAATAGCTCTGTTAAGTGATTTTCAAGTTTAAGTATGTAACCTAGTACTTACATGTGATTTCTGATCAATCTTACTAGTTTTAAATGAATGTGCATTAGGATATTTAGGATGCAGGCAGTTACTTTTACACTTAGTTGCAAAATGAAGTAATTATTTTTTACTTACCTTTACAGCCTGGCTATCAGGGCAAAGGATGAAAATACAGAACATGTTTTAAACTCTTTTCAACTCCTAAACAACACAAATACATTGTACCATTACTGATTACACTAATCATGTATCCCATTAGAAAAGCCTGGATCCAACTCTGCAACTTTTAACTCAAAGAAGATTCTGCTGTAATAATCCGTTTGACATTAACAGGATTGCTCATTAAGGACTATGCAAATCATTAGTAGAGTACAGCTGTTCTCTCCGTGTACTTGGTACACAATTTTATAGGGGTTTTTGCCAACAACCTACAACTGTCATGTGTATTATTCTAGCAAGTGGTATGAGGCTAAAGAATGTGTTTAGTGGCAGGAAGGCACTTCTATCGTATTTGACTAGCTGTAGTAAAAGCCACATCTGCTCCTTTGCAAATCTGATTTCTGCTCTCCCATTGCCACTTTCACGCATAGATAACGCCCTATTAAGCGGGCAAGTTAGTTCACGTTACAAGTCTCACTAATTGGGATAAGCCTCCCTCCCTTATAGAGCCGATATTCAGATCAGGAATTGCCTTTCACTCCACATTTTAGACCTGCTGCCGGACAGCTCAGCAGACACCGCGACTGAGCCGCTGATGCTCTCCGGCTGGCTGCCTCCCGCACACACCAGGGACAAGAAGTTAGGAAGGCAGCTGGATGTCCGTCAGTCACCCTGCCGCGGCCAGGCCAGCCCGGGGCAGCCGGCGGGCTGCTACTCACCATAACAGCAAAGACGAAGGCGACGATGTTGACAGGATAGGCGGGACAGAAGCAGGAGAAGATGCTGAGGAGCAGGTAGCCCGTGGGCCGCGCCTGCGGCGGCTCCTCGGGCAGCTCATCCTCGATGTTGGTCTCGGGGCTGTTCTCCAGAGCCCTCTTGATGTCGGCACCGGCGGGGAGCGCGGACATGGGGCTGCGGCGCGGCGG